CGACTATTGTGCGACAGTTGTAAAACAGTCGTACGACAGTGGCAAGACAGTGACACGCGCATCCCATGACATGAAAACCTGAAAAATAGCCATAAACAACTCATGATTGTCGTACGACTGTCGCAGGACCGACTTGCGACAAACCCACGACAGTACAATTACATTTTTTATCTGTCGTGTACCTATGATATCGTGGAACAATCGTGGACATGTCGTAGCTGATGTGACCACTCGAAATATTTTTTTGACATTTTGCACGACAGTGCCACGACAACTATTTTATAGATCTTCCACGACAAAAAATCGTACGATCTGTTGTGACCGGGGCTTTAGGTTACGATGTCGGCAAATGTCCAAAGCATTATAATTTATTTTTTCTTATACGTACCTGTTAACTGAGAAGTAAACCGAATGCCTCGCAAGAAACAAAATGGCGTCACAACAGTACATGAAAGAATATTACCAATGATGCATAATATTCTGGAACTGTTACAGCATGTACAGTGAATTGCATACAACATATGACATATTCCATGGAAAAGTGCACAATGTTCCGTCAAAATATATATAAGACAAAATTTACCTATGACAATACATTGTCCTAAAACATTGATTCGTAGATAATTGTACTATGATAGCTTTATCAGAAAAATCATTACTGACAGCTATTTGTTCTACACAGAAGGAGCAATTTAATTTCAAACCCAAAATTTTGGAAAAATATTGACGGACGCAACTCCCGTAATAAAGGACCGGACTGAAGTACGTTCACTATTCACTTTTCACTATTCAAAATTCATGACTAGTGAACTGTGTTTTTTTGCACTATTCACTATTTAAGTCTATTAAATTGTCATGAATAACTGTAGTATCTACTTGTATATATAAAAATTAGAAAAAATTGGTATGATTGCCAATGACACAGACATAACAAGCTTTAGGTCACCGTACGGCCTTCAGCAATGTGCAAATCCCATAACGCATAAATCATAAATGTAAAAGGAATTCAAAAGAGAAAACTAACGGGATAATTGTTATTCTTCTAAACGAGTGCAAAAATATCCATGATTTTTTACTTATATTATATACATATATTTCTAACGACACAATATTTTCATATTATCAATCTATATCATAAAATAAAATATTTTTATGAGTAATCATTTAATAAATAAATATTATTTTGCAAACGATAATTTAGATAGGTTTGCTGTCAAAAACGAAAGTAACGTAAGTAGAAATCTCTATAGAATTATATAGTATTAAGGTATAAAGAGAAAAGATATTTGTTAGGCCTATCCCTTTTTAATACTTAGACTGAATCATTTATTTTTTACGTAACATTACATTTGATCATGCATCTAAAACCCACTTATGCATATATCTAGAAGTTTACGGTACAATTGTCGCACTCAGTTTGTTACGTATATTTCTAGGGGTGGGGTCTACTTTTAATCATAAAGCATTAAAGTGAGCATTCGTTTCAGACTCATTTCACTATCAAAATGTCCTCACTTGACTGAACGGTACACCTTGTGTCAGGGGAGTGAAAAAAAAATACGTCTTTGAGTGCCAATAATTCTCCAACAACGACGAACCGAACCTAAGAAAAAATACACCACAGATCACGTTACGATCGAGTTTTGAACCCCCGTATCCCCTAATTACAGGTATATCCTATATATCAAAAGAAAGGTAATAAAATGAGGAACAAAAGCTATATAGTGAATATGTGGCACAGATGCGATTTAAGGGGTAACGAGCGACCGAAAACCGAAAACGGCCGAACCTAAGAAAAAATACACCACAGATCACGTTCAAGATACGGGGGTTCAAAACTCGATCGTAACGTGATCTGTGGTGTATTTTTTCTTAGGTTCGGTTCGTCGTTGTTAGAGATGTTTTTGGTATTCGGGCGTAGTATAACATAGATCTCCTATTAGTGCTAGTATTAGATTTTTCTTTAGGGAAACACCCTAGTTTTTTATACGAAACTTTCATTACTTGTGCATATTGCCTCTTCTAGACTTTTCATATTGATAATATTTTTTATATATAAATGTATAATTTTTTGAGAATTTGAAAAGAATTATTGGCACTCAAAGACGTATTTTTTTTTCACTCCCCTGACACAAGGTGTACCGTTCAGTCGGTATGCATAAGTGGGTTTTAGATGCATGATCAAATGTAATGTTACGTAAAAAATAAATGATTCAGTCTAAGTATTAAAAAGGGATAGGCCTAACAAACATCTTTTCTCTTTATACCTTAATACTATATAATTCTATAGAGATTTCTACTTACGTTACTTTCGTTTTTGACTGCAAACCTATCTAAATTATCGTTTGCAAAATAATATTTATTTATTAAATGATTACTCATAAAAATATTTTATTTTATAATATAGATTGATAATATGAAAATATTGTGTCGTTAGAAATATATATATATAATATAAGTAAAAAATCATGGATATTGTTGCACTCGTTTAGAAGAATAACAATTATCCCGTTAGTTTTCTCTTTTGAATTCCTTTTACATTTATGATTTATGCGGTATGGGATTAGCACATTGCTGAAGGCCGTACGGTGACCTAAAGCTTGTAATGTCTGTGTCATTGGCAATCATACCAATTCTTTCTAATTTTTATATATACAAGTAGATACTACAGTTATTCATGACAATTTAATAAACTTGAATAGTGAATAGTGCAAAAAAACACAGTTCACTATTCATGAATTTTGAATAGTGAAAAGTGAATAGTGAATAGTGAATAGTGAACGTACTTCAGCCCGGTTAATAAAGGGAGCCTTTTTTTAAATGACAAAAAAAATCATTTATATTTCGAAAGGTATGTGTTTCATATGCAAATCGGAAAGTAAAAACAATACTATTAGTATTATAATCATTTCCAAGCAAGTTTGGCATATCATACTGCAAACAAATATAACAGAATGGTCGTTAAAAATACTGGCAATATTTACAAAATCAAAACCTTTATTGACATACTTTATTGTAATATTTGTCTTTTATGATCCTCAGGGCGATCAATTTTGGGAAACAGTTTAGAATAACAATATGCCATTATATTTTGAACGATTTCATACTTAGGACTGCTATATTTAATTGTGTTGCAATCCTCTAAAATTTTATTTAATTTATTTATAGGTTAAGAACAGAGCTTGGTTAACAGAAAATGTCTGCCGTTGTTTTTTGAAATAGAAATTAGGTCCGAAATATATGTATGGTTGTTCCGAAATTTTCTTTGATTACGATTTTTTCTGCGCCCATGAGAACGGTTTTTACGAACAGTTTTAGAAACAATATCCAAAATGTAAACAGAATCGGTTCTTGATATATTACCAAGCGATAAAAACCCGACCATAGAGCAGACAACAGCCGAAGGCCACCAATGGGTCTTCAATGTAGCGAGAAACTCCCGCACCCGGAGGCGTCCTTCAGCTGGCCCCTAAACAAATATGCATACTAGTTCAGTGATAATGGACGTCATACTAAACTCCGAATTATACACAAGAAACTAAAATTAAAAATCAAACCAGACTATTAAAGGCCAGAGGCTCCTGACTTGGGACAGGCGCAAAATTGCGGCGGGGTTAAACATGTTTTTTGAGATCTCAACCCTCACCCTATACCTCTAGCCAATGTAGAAAAACAAACACACAACAATACGCACAGTAAAACTCAGTTTAAGAGAAGTCCGATGTCAGAATATGAAACAAAAGAAAATAAACAAAATGACAATAATACATAAATAACAACAGACTACTAGCAGTTACTGACATGCCAGCTCCAGACCTCAATTAAACTGATTGAAAGATTATGTCTTCATCATATGAATATCAAGCACAATCCCTCCTGTTAGGGGTTTAGTATTATACCATCATGAAATATATGAGAAGAACATAACCCGTGTCATGCCAACATATATACATATATACAATTGTTATTACCACAAAACTCAGATCAAGTACAAATTTTGGTAGCATCCCTTTTTATCCTTACCGTTTTTCAATTATGTCCCTTTATAACTCTATATGATATACAGGCAAGGGCATCATCTGTGTCCCATGGACACATTCCCCATTTTTTATACGACCGCAAAAACAATATTTATTGGTATCACGTCGTCGTCGTCGTCCGAAGACATTTGGTTTTCGCACAATAACTTAAGTATAAGTAAATAGATATCTATGAAATTTATTCACAAGGTTTATGTCCACAAAAGGAAGGTTGGGATTAATTTTGGAAGTTTTGGTCCCAACAGATTAGGAAGTAAGGGCCAACAGGGGCCAAAATTAAACTTTGTTTGATTTCATCAAAAATTGAATTATTGTGGTTCTTTGATATGCCGAATCTAACCGTATATTTAGATTCTTAGTGTATTTAGATTTTGGATATTGGACCATAAAAGGTAAATGCCTAATTCATTTTGTATCAGAAACCTATCACTATGCTGTGTCAACTATTTAATCACAATCCAAATTCAGAGCTGTATCAAGCTTGAATAGTGTTTCCATACTTGCCCCAACTGTTCAGTGTTCGACCTCTGCGGTCGTATCTAGCTGCGCCCTGCGGAGCATCCTCTAATTTTCCAGCAGTTATCATAAACTCGATGAACAATAAATATTTAAAAGTACATACTTCCTGATATTTCGAAGACTTGTATTTTTTAGAAGAGATCAACCATTTAACTTCAAAAGTGGGGTGTATGTTTTTTTTTATGTCGGATTTAGAAAACCTTTTCGCTTCGAAAGCACGAACATTTTTTTTAACGTTATCAATCAATTTTTTTTTTTTTTAAATTTAAAAATTTAATTCTATAAGGCTTGGAGGAAAATCGAGATTCAGAATATTTTTTTTTTGTCAATACTTGATCACATGATATTTTTTTCTCCATCAAATTGGGGTTCAGAATATTTTTTTAATTTAAAATCCATTTTCGTAATACTTATATTTTATCATTTTTAGATAAACTGACCGAATTATGTTTCAAAGAGTGGACAAGAATATGTATAGCATTAGTAAAAGTTTTAATCATCATGATCATGGACTATTATTCTAACCTGGCTAGAAATATAGCAGGCACCACTATACAATCTCTGTTATTCTAACCTGGCTAGAAATGTAGCAGACACCACTATACAATCTCTGTTATTCTTACCTGACTTGATAGTTAAAAGATGTTTCGCAGTGGTCATGGGGAACAGGTAAGGACACTAAGAATAGATACATTTTCAGAAACGGAAAATAAGGAGATTTTAACAGTTATCTCCCCAGAACAACATACAGACAATTTAGAGACATTCCGCGGCGGACAGGACAAGACAGAAACAAATATGGTTTCTGATACTGAAAAGAAAGATAGACTAACAGTCATCCCACATGATCATACTAGTACAGACCAACTGACGCACAAGACATATCAGAGTAGGGAGAAGGTTGATGTTGGTAATTTAAGTGGTAAAGAATGTCATGGTAATGTTTGTGGTAAACATGGTAAAGAATGTCATGGTAATGTTTGTGGTAAACAGTGCCAGAGAAAGGCGTGTAACTTATGTAATAAAGTATTTCGTAAGACTCAGGTCTTAAAAAGTCGCATTATAAAACATAAAGGCTACAAACCTTTTAAATGTGGAGTGTGTGAAGTAGATTTCACTAGGAAGGAACACCCAGAAATGCACATGAGAACACATACTGGTGATAAACCATACAAATGTGATATGTGTGAAAATGCATATAGTCGGCAACATCACTTACGGAATCATATGAGAACACATACTGGCGCTAAACCATTCAAATGTGATCTATGTGATAAGGCATTTAGTCAGCGTTCTCACTTAAAGAGACACACGCAAACACATACAGGTGAAAAACCATATAAAATATGTAAATGTGATGTATGTGAAAAGGAATTTAGTCAGCGTCCTGACTTAAAGAGACACATGAGAATACATACTCAGTCTGGCGATTAGCCTTATAAATGTGGTGTGTGTGATAAAGCTTACTGTAGGAAGGAACACTTACAACTACACATGAGAACACATACTGACGATAAACCTTATAAATGTGAGGTATGTGATAAAGCTTTCAGTAGGAAGGAACGCTTACGACTACACATGAGAATACATACTGGCGATCAACCGTTTGCATGTGATGAATGAGGTAAAGGTTTTACTTGTAAAAACGACGTACAAAGACACAAACGAAGGCTTTTAGGACTTAAAAATTATGAAGGACCTTATAAATGTGATATTCGTGATAAAGATTTTATTCGGAAACTAAACTCAAAAGAACACATGAGAACACATACGGGTGAAAAAGCATATATGTGTGAGACATGTGGTGAAACATTTAGCATGTCAATTTCTTATGCTACACACGTGGCAAAACATAATGCCGAGAAGGTCAAATTACTTTAGACTAGTTTGAAATAAACAAAATAAGGAATTACTATTGCTGTCACCCCACCCTACATGTATATATATTTTTGAAGGAGGAAACTCTAAACAACTTAACTTTTTGTATGTCCTTACGTCATGTACGTTAATAATAGATATAATTGTTATGCCTTTTTTTTCTAATATGTGTGTGGATGATGATACGGCCAGGTTTTTTATGCCGACACCGTAGCGGAGGGGGCATTAAGTTTTGCCCTTTTCCGTCTGTACATTGTACGTACGTCCCAAAGTTGGTTTCCGTTCTCTAACCTTGGTTTGCCTCAACCAAATGTTATGAAACTTATACACAATGCTTATTACCACATAATACAGATCAAGTCCGAAAAATTTTAGGTGGCGTCACTTTTACCGTTCTTGAGTTATGCCCTTTCTAAACATAAAAATCGCTGATTTTTTCGTACCGTTCTCTAACGTTAGCTTTCCTCAAACAAATGTTATGAAACTTATACAGAATGCTAATTATCACACAATACAGATCAATTTCGAAATTGTGTGGCGTCAATTTTACCGCTTATGCCTATTTACAAATGGAAAATTTGCTGAATTTTTCGTTTCTGTTCTCTTACTTAATTTAGCCACAACCAAATGCTATATACCATGTATACACACTACTTAAGCTTATAACCACAAAACTTCGATCAAGTACAAATTTGAGTAGCAACACTTTTACTTTTCTTCAGTTATGTCCCTTTATAACTTCACTATGATATTCAAACGGGGGCATCATCTGTGTCCCACACATTCCCCATTAATTTTTATTTGTTTTTGTGCATACCTAAAATCCTGATCGGTCGGTCACTCGGTCGGTCGGAATAGCCTATACAAAGAAATAAATGTCTTCCATGTATATTTGTGTAAAAATAATTGTATACTTTAGCTTTATTGAAAAATAATTGTGGTCTCCTTTTTTGTTATTCTTCCTTAACTTGTAGTCGCAAATGTTTTTTCGCTGCTTGAAGCCCATGAATAGAAGTTGTGACTGTCAATATAACTATTTATTTATGCCCCAGGTAAGTGTGCGCCGATAGAAAACGGCGATTCATACCTGTAAAAGGAAATATATCTATATTGAACTAGGTTTGACCTTTCAGCTTCACGGGGATGATAGTTTTTATCGTGCTAGGCCTAGAGACTTGATCTTCAGACTTCTCTTGCTCAAGGAAAACTTTCGTACAGTGAAGTAAGTTGTACTATCAATTTCTATTATTCAGTTTCAACAGTCAAGGGTACTACTTAAACAAGTGATTTCATTATCACCTATTTCAGTGATTTGATAAATTCAGTAATCACCTATTTAAGTGATTTTGGTGTTTCCTTTGATCTTCAAATGCTAATTTCATTGATTTTCCATATTTTGACAAACTTCTCTATAATTTTCCTACATAGATCAATTATCCCTTTTTCTTTGTATATCAATTTCACCAGTGCGCTTGGGCAGTAAGTTAGTGCGCTAAAGCTTTTAAAAGTACCCTTGGGAATTTTTCTGTAATCAAATATTCATTAACTACTCTTACTATCAGAAAAGGTCAACAATATTAGGTAACCTCATTGGTTTTCTTTAGAGTTAGAATGATCTACTTCAAGGTTATGTCCTGATCTACAAATTATTCCAGTTTTTGCATATTTCAAATAAAGTGTAAAAACTGACCGGCTTATCAAGCAAAAGACAATTTCTGCATGTACATAGTTGTTTTTTCAATGGAATTCTTGTCTTTTTACCAATAAAAAAATCAACCTTGTGGGAAAAATATCAAGAAAATGTTATAAACACTTATTTAAGTGATTACATTTTAACTTCTCAAAGTAAGCTGTAAGATTAAACTATTCGCGGACGATACATGCATCTATGCTTTTGTAGATAATCCACTAGTTTCATCGATTTCTTTAAACTACAACTTGCGTAAAATAAATAGCTGGGCGGATAAATGGTTAGTAAATTTTAGTCCGTCTAAGACAGAATCCATTTTATTCTCACGAAAAAGCGAACCAGATTATCATCCACCTTTGAATATGAATGGCGTCATAATAAAAAGAGTTCAAACTCATAAGCACTTAGGATTAACTTTCTCGAGTGATGGAAAATGGAATCATCACATCAAAAAAATTACATCAAAGACATTATCTCGACTAAACTTACTGCGTCGCCTAAAATTTAGGCTTGACAGAAGATCTCTTGAAAATATGTATTTTAGCTGCGTACGCCCATTACTTGAATATGTTGATGTTGTCTGGGATAACTGTCCCGAATACTTAAAAGCCAAGCTTGAACATATAAATTACGATGCTGCACGCATCGTTACTGGTGCAACAAAACTCACCAGTCTACGCTTACGTTTAGCAGAATGCGGATGGGAGAGACTACAACAGCGAAGAGATAAGCATAAATTTTTACTTTTTCATAATATGGTGAATGGAAAGACCCCATGTTATCTGAATGATATCATACCCGATCAGTTTAGAAACATACACCAGTACAGAACTCGTTACGCAAATAATTTTCCATCAGTACCCTGTCGAACTACTTATTATATGAATAGTTTCCTTCCATCAACAGTTCGACTTTGGAATAGCCTTCCCCCAGATATAAAAAATGCTGGTTCTATCGCTCCACTAAAAGCCTTTCTTAAGTTAAATCATTCTATACCAAATTATTATTATGCAGGCAGTAGATTAGGTCAGATATATCATGCCCGAATCCGTACCGAGAGCAGTAGTCTTAGAGATCACTTGTATAAAAAAAAATTGGAATCAGACCCATTTTGTAAATGTAAACAGATAGAAACCTCGGAACACTTCCTTCTAAACTGTCCCATTTATCATCGAACTCGTGAAGCCCTTTTTGTTAACCTAGTTGGTACACTTAACATAGATACGTTACTGTATGGTGATCCGAACATTACAGATATAGACAATAAAACAACTTTCTTATTGTTCAAGACTATATATTGAAAACTAAGAGATTCACAAAATAATTCTTGTTGGCTTAACAACATGTCACCCAATATTAAAAAAGACTATCTGCTTTATATGTTAATTTCCATTACATTTGATTTCTTTTTCTATGATATTATGTTATATGATTGTACATTTTCTGACCATTGTAATTAATTTTGCCGTTCAAAAGGAGAGGAATTTGTATAAGTGACTTGTCACTTGTTTTCCAATCCATGTATTGTATTGATGTACGTATTTATTTATCTGTTTCTAAATAAAAATATTGTTTACACTAACTTCTCAAATTACTTGTTTCAGTGATTTTAAAAAGTCTGTGTCTATTTTTGTGAAAAATTTTAATATTTCACAGCCAAAATCACTTGAAGAACTGATTCTGAAATCACTTGTTTAAGTAGTACCCCTGACTGTTCAATGTTTGACTTAAATATTTATTTGTTTATATGATTACAATTGATTGATATGTTTCGTTGGTTTTTGAGTCAAACATTTCGAAAGTCTTTGGTCCAGTGAACACGAAATTACGAGGTTCATTTTCCAGTCAAACACTACGATGATAACCAGTAGGTATATTTATTTATCTTGGAATGTAGGACGTCACGAAATTGATTGATTGAATTTAGTTTTTGTTGAGAACGACCAGTGGACAGTGACTTTCAATTAAAATAACCAATTTTCAACGTTCACTTTTCTGCATAAGTTAGTTTAATAGGAACTAATAATGATAGACAATAATATTTTCTATAAAGTTGCATTATTATCAGTACATCTGAGTTTGTCGACTATTTTCAGGTTTTATCCGTAGTTTCATGGTCCAACGACTTTAGTAATCCGAAGAGACACATGATGAGACACACGAAAACACATACTAGATTGATTGATTGTTGGTTGCTTTACGCCGCATTAGCACAACAAGGCCACATACTAGAGATAAGACTTATAAATGTAATGAATGTGGTAAAAAGTTTAGTCTAGTCAGTGATTTAAAAAAAGGGCATCAAAGCATATTCAGGTGATAAACCTCATATATGTGATGTATGTGATAAAGTGTTCAGTCAACCTGGTAATTTAGGCCAAAAAAAAATATATGTCTGTTTAAGGTTACATCCATGAAAAAAATAGGGTAGTAGGTAGGTATTTCCATTTTTTTTTTTTTTTTCATTTTTTTTTTGGCGAGATGTGTGATGTTGTTACATGTTGTTTTTACTAATATTAAGTGACTATATTAACTTTTTACTGTCATATACACATAAAATAAATTGTATTGTCCTTTCTAATATATAGGTTTATTAATGTACATGTATGCAGAAATAGATTCATTATGCTGTACTGGTGTATGAACAATCAATATGTATAAAACAAGAAGACCCATCAGAAACGAGGAAAGATGACAAAACCTGCACTTATACATATGAACGTACTGGTTCAAGTTTTGGGGGTTGTACCAACTCCTTGTATTAAAGAATGTTTCTTTCACTTTTGCAAATTTGATGCATTAATCTTTTAATAAATTCAATTCTTTTATACCATAATAAATAACCTTCCCAGGAACATTGCTGACA